TAATTAATGCAGAATAATGGGTAAAATGCACCAAATTTCAGTATTTTAAGTTTTAAGGAATTTTATACTTGACCACGTGAGTTTCGGTTTCGGTTTCGGTTTCGGCCGGAAAACCAGTTTCGGTCGGACTATAGTTCAAATCTATAAATTTTTGAGACGTGTGAAGGAACTATGTATCCAATGGTATTTCTAAATTGAGGGACTTTTGAATGTAGTGCTGGTTTCAAATGCAGCTAACTTACTTTAAGACAAATTGTAATACATTGAGAAGTTACACCATGGAGGTAAGAGTATATATAAACAGGAACGAACGACATAATATGTGACATCAGTTATTAGGTCGCCTGTAGCATAAATTTATTGAAATTGTAGGTAGCGCAGCGCGCAGGTGTCGACTTGTTGCCTACAAGGAGTAGTAGGAGCCACTAAAGGCAATTATTAGACCTAAAAAGAAAGGTCGTCTAAATCATGCCTTGAATTTCAGACAATATTGCGATCGTATTTCCTCAAAATTTTTTTAGACCACTTTTTTCGAAGGTATTGTTCTTCTAATTTCAATTAAACAGTGAATAGTGTTATAGTATAATCAAAGTGGTAGTTGTCACATTGAGGGAGATTGTAACCTGGAGATTTTCATCAACGTAAAAGGGACGGGGGTAGTCTTCCAGAGAAACTTGATGAAACTAAATGACAACTATAAATATTAAGAGAAATAATCGGGATTTTTCCATATTGTGCTTATTCATACACTAAAACACATTATCAAGTTGCACGTTTTCTTCGTCGTATTGGGAAATCATGACTAAAATTATTATGAAACAAACTGGAGTCTAGTAAAGAAAAATAAATTTTATTACACTTCTCGTTGTACTCGGACGGGGCACGGAGAAATTGAAATGAAACCCAGAAACCGGGAGATATCCCCAAACATCGGAGTATCCGAGTCCCCACCAGTAGGCATGTCTTACAGGTATACACAGACTATAGATCATTGCCTAGAACTTCGAGAGGATTCCTAGTCTGTCTACCCTGGTAGTTATGGGGGTTCAAAGTTAATAAATATGCCAATTTTTATACATTCCTAGGCATGTAAATATTTATGTAGTCATTCTTAAACAATATTCAAAGGTAAAACTAATGAAAAATACATAAAGATATTGAGAAAGTTATATAAAACATTATTTAAATATCTTTATCAATAGGGTAGGTTAGGTTAGGTTATCGAGTTTTGTTCAAGTGACCACCCTCTTTCGATCCCCCACCTCCACCCGCTTGATAATAATTATTTTATTTGAATTATAGTGTTTGAAAATTATCAAAATGATCAACTTTCAACCCCATAACTTTTTATGGGG